CAAACGCCCAGAGAAATTAACGAATTATCATCCAAATCACGAAGTGTAACATAGATGTTTCTAACACCAGTGGCGCCGTATTTTTCAAAGTTATCGTATTCTGGATTTGATGGTTCTTTAACTTAAAGTATATGGATCAATTATAATAAACACTTTTTAATAATTAAATTACTTACAAGCTGGAAATATTAAGAATCTTTGAATAGAAACTGTACACATAAATATTATTGGAAATATTACCCAGATTAAAATGAAAAGAAATAGAAGAAAAGTAAAACTAAAACGATAATAATTAATAATTATAAAATTAAAAAGAAAAAACTTACAATCCAATTAAAGACCATTTTAAACATTTTTTCCATGTTTTGCAACAACAACAACCTCCACCTTTCTCGTAACTATCTTCAGAATATTTTTCTAGTATCTCATTATCTCTGCTAATCTTCAATTTAAACAAAAATTAATTACAGTAATCTCAATAATATACCTTGTTAAGTACCATTGTTAGACAATTAATTTGAAGTCGTCGAATTTGATTAAGAAGATATCAAAACATTATTTAAGTGATTCACTTATGTGCGAAATAAGGTTTGAAAATATTTTAAACCTGCCATATATAAACTCTTACAGACGTTTCCACCTGGTGTATACGTAATAATCTTGTTATCGTTGCCAAATTGGTTACAGGAATTCCACTAAACAAATTTATTAATTCAATTTTATAAAATCATAGAGCGTGGTTTTCAATTTATGTATTTATCAAAATCGGAGTATCGATAAAGTTAATCTTTATAAAAAATATAATCTAAGTAAATATAAAAATTGGAACGTTTAAAAAATATCAAAAAATTAAATGCGCTTACCTGAACGTTTTAATTAATTTTTAACTCAAAATTTTAATCATTCAATAAACACTAATCGCAACCAGATAAATGCAAACGAATACCTATAATACCGATTAAAAACGTTGAAACAGGTAGACGTTGTAACGTAACTCAGCGCATATATTATGTAATAACTTTCACCTTATCTGCGATCTCTCTTTGGTGGTGGTGGTGGTGTAGTAATATTATGTAAATAGTGAATTTAGGGGGAACAAGAAGCCACAAAAAAGAAAGTAAAATATAAAATAATTTGGTATAATGTAACAATGATGGATTATATTAAATCAATGGTTTCGGGATAATGAAAAAGTTTTAACATTAATTGAATTAAAGATTGGAAAGGGTAATGATGTATAAATACGACACATGAGATGGCACAATTGCTATAATATGAAAAGTTATATTGTACGGGATCATAGATCAAATAGTTATTAACGAAATTGCTATACATAATGACGTGTGCATCCTCTCATTGTATGCTTACATTGATATATTATCAATCTAATATTTTTTTGAAAGCCATGATCAATTTAGGATATTTGGTTTTAATCGTGCTCGAAGATTCCATATTCCTTCAAACATATATGTATTAAGAATTATGTTCTTGTGTCATTAGTCATTAGTAATGACTCATTACCCAGGTCTCCGAATCATAACTTATCACTGATCTAATAAATGTATTATAAATTTTCCTTTTTGTTTTTTTTGTTAAGATGTTTGATTTCAATTGCTTACGCAGCACAGTGGTCCATTTCATAAATCTAGGTGGACAAAATTAATATTGAAAAAAATACAACTTTTTTGGACATAATTATATTCAAAAACTCATAAAAAATGATTTAAAAGTGTTCATCACTAACTGCACGAGGGACTAAATTCTTCATCTGTCGACTCCTTCTCTGCAGTGATAGATTCCTGCTCTTGAGATGACTTGTTTAATAATGAAATTACTTCATCGGAAGTATTCTCTATTTTCTTAGGAGCAAGACCTGAAGTTTGTAATTAGCGAATCTGACGAAACTCGGTGTTGGTGATTCTAGACGTTTTTCTAGCGTGATCTCTCCGAAACTTTCGACAAGTGAAGTTTGTACACTGTTCAATAATATTTACCAGGATACACAATCCAGTGTCCAAAATATTAAAAAAATTCTTTAATACCGGAAGTGTTAAAAATCTTTCAAAAGTGAACGGCCCAAGACAGCTACCAATGATAAAACTACATTAAATGGATCTACTCATACATTATTAGTTATTCATAATTGTTGAAACTGTCATTTTTTTGACATTTAAAGCAGTCAATGGCGTTATTTCGGCGCCTACTTTGATTGTGATTTGCTAATAATATCTTCAGAAAATGCATTTTTTCTTGGTTTTTTTTCTTACAAAACCATATGATTTGATATGTTCATCGCATAGAGGGATTTATCCTCTATCAAATTATGCAAAAAACATATGCATCCCATTTAAAATAACAATGTTGGTTGCCATAGCAACGAAACAAAAAACAATACAAACAAGCAAATACCGCCAAAAAATGCGCCATGATTAATAAAAAAAAACTTGTATTTGAAACATTTTTCTTTAAAACTACAAATGGCGAAGTTGTTGGCTATATTCCAGACATTTGACACACCCTGTATAATTGAACATACAACTTAGCAGTGTCTATGGCATATTCTTCAAATGTTTCCAAATTTTTTTCAAATTTATCCACTCGCAATTGCCTTTAAACAACTGCAAACTGTTTAATTCGTTCCTCATTCACTCCTGTGATCGCACTGGATAGCGATAGATTAGAAAAAAATCTTCGAGCAGTGTTGCCATCATTACTTAACCTGGTTTGGGAATATCCACAAGTAGGCCCATTTCCTTGCGAAAGCGATCTTGAATTAATCTTTTTCGCTTGTCCACATTTTCCAGGTGCAGCAATGTGCAGCAGATATTCGGTGCATCTTATCCACGCGTGAAGACTTGATAACCCAAAATCGAATGTTCCTTCATCAAGAGGCGTTGATGCGTGTCTAACCAAGTTATTCATTTCTTTAGGTGTTGCACCACAGATATAACACTTTTGAAATGACTCTTGTGCAATAACATTGTCTGTTATCAATCATTCCATAACATACATACTATCGTGTATTCGCAATAAAGCAGTTCTGCAACCACGATCCTAACTAAACCCGGACTGACATTTTGACACCATGTTGCCACGTTTAACAAAACTATGCAGTTGAATATTCGAAATTTTAAATAAATAAAGCTAAAAGTCTGTATTATTTTCTAGCTGCTTATAAATACAACATTCTAAACAGAAATGGGTTACAAATTTTTAAATCCTTACTAATCCTACCATCAGCATTACCAACCCTACCGATTTAATCGGTTGATCTACAGATATAGAAAGTAATGTTACAGATCTAATACAGCTTAGGCTAGATAATGGGCACTAGACGGCCACCGAAATCCCATAATCACAGTGTAATCACAGAATATTAAGTTATTATTATATACTGATTTTATAACATTGATTCTACTGTCATTTGGAAACGCTGCCTACCATAACCATAGACAAAAAACTTTAAGAAACCTGTTCCAAAAAGTTGCACCCACTCCACATTAGGCAAAGCAACCACTACAGGCTTTATACTACCCTCATCATGTTTTATTGTTTTGATAGTACCTAGTATCATATTCTTTACCTGACTGCCACGTGCAAATTCATGACCATGGAAGGTCTTATGATCGTGTCCAAATTATAACCATGTGTAAATTATACAACCTTTCTTGTCAAACGGAAGACTTCGTGGGCTTTAATAGGCAATATCTACTCTAAAAGTCATCTTTTAATGGCCGAGATCTCATTCTATTTCAATTTCTTTTTGGTTGCTTTTGACTGAAGAAACGGTGTGATTTCTATAAAAATTTCCTCCGCCTGCCTTGCGATTTCTTCCGTAGTGTTTTGATGAAATCGGCATCCCCAATCAAAGTTGTTGAAGATAATTCAAAAAACATTTCTGCTTTTGAAGGTGTAAGGTTTTTAAACATTTTATTCGTTAAATCTTTTATGAAAAAGTACAATATCAAATATGAGTTTGCTTTGCAAGTTTCGGATATTAGAGCACATGATCTTTCCTTCCACTGATATACTGGGAAGAGAGAGTATAGCGACAACATTAATATGAATAGTGTTCTTCTTCTCAAAGCTGCCTTAATCAGTATTTAATAAGCCATTAGCAGCTCATTCAAAACTAGCACATACATCAACCCAAAGAAGTTTGAACCTATTTTGACAATCCTACTCAGATTAGTTTTTCTTTTTACGCTCTATTGCACAAGTAGTTAAGATGATTTAAAGTATCCCAAATGCCACGCCAACCTTGATTTTTTAAAGTAAAAAGGTGGTTTAAACAAATATGTTAAAATTTAATGCAAATTTGAATTATATCATTTTTGCCTGAACATCCTACCTTACTAATAAATATTTTAATATTCTTAATTTAGTAGATAAACACAAAAAATGGCTACTCATTACAAAAAACGATTTAAACTGCTACTAAATAGTAATGAATTTCCAGCTTCTCAATAAATCAAATGCATAACCATAAATCACCAGCAACAAACTTGTGCCAATCAGTGTAAGGTGCTAAAATACTAGAGTAGGTCACAATGAAATAACCTTATTCAGCACAATATGTAATCTTTTTTCACGTTTACAGAATCATGTTAAAAATTTAGTTCTTTTACATATACCTACCAAATATATCCAATTTAACACTTTTATAATATATTCTTGATTATTTTGAACCGTCGCTCCTTGAAATCACCGATTTCGAGAAGTGAAAATAGTCAATAGTAGAGGTACTCCCCTCAATTGAATTAGGTCAAAGTTCAATTTCCTAACGGATCTGACGTCATAGAGAGAAAAAAATCACTTCTTCCTCACACTAACAACAAAAATCCCAAATTTTCAAGGTGTCAAATTTAAAATTAGAAACTAATTGGAAATTGCAGTAAATAAAAGGATATGTCAAAAAAGAAAAGAGCTTCTGGCATAATATTATTTTGAACGTTTGATCGATCCAAGAAACCCCTGTGACGTCATTAATTTTGAACGCTGGTGGGGGTAGGTGACGGCGACGTCACGACGCCGGCACACCGTCGTCGTCGTCGGCAAATGTAACGAAGGCAGACGTGCAGGCGTCGATAATAAAGGTTTTTTGAATAGACACTGTTCGCTCGTTGGGGTCGGTTGCTCTGGGTTGGCCGTTCGTTTAACCGCGAACCAGAAGGACGAGTGAAGACGAAGAAGAATTTTTTGGCGTGGTCCGGAAGGAAGTGCATGAGGTGCCCGGAAAACGGTAGAAGAAGAGGAGAGCGATGGGCGGTAGTGTGTTGGTTTTCGTTAATGTTTTAATATTAGGAAGTTTTATAATTGAATGTAAGTATAATGACATAACATTATTATTGATGATTTATTTTACTTATGTAGTTTATTACTTTTCAAATTACTAAAACATATGAGTTGTCTTTTTTTTCCGAATTATGTTACAATTTTAGTGATTCATCACTAAAATGTTAAAGTTTTGTTGTTAACTCAAAAATAACTACACGAATTCCACGGAACAAAGTATTACATGAATGCATGGTTGAACAAGAAATAGTAATTACATTGTGTTATGTAACCCAAAATTTATTGATATTTATGTAATATTCTTTCTTTACCTAAAAGTACTAGACGATCTGTAAGCTAAAATCAATACAAAATGTTCTATTAATGAGCGTGGTTATTTTAAAATTGGTTTTATGTTAGTAGAAAATGCAATTTTTTAATTGATTTAATACTTCATTTTGTTAGTTGACGGTGATGTAAGACTACAAGAAATAGCAAAGTTAAGTATTCGCTTAACCAAAAAGGTTTCTTGCATTATTTCACTTGCTTTTATTGGGTTACATAATAACTAATGAGGAAATTTTGAAGTTGTAATACAAAGTTAAATAAGTAAATAAATTAAGTAAAAATAATAAAATTGTTAAAATGTATTAAATTTTGATTTTTAAATAAGTAATTTTTCATTAGAATACATTCTTAAAATGTTACTCCACTCGTAAATATTATGTTGTACTATCAAAATTTTAAATAACAATTTGACACAGTTTTTTTTACAAACTATGACGTAATCCTAAAGATTACATTCGGTTCGATCAAATTTTTGTAATAAATTTTAGTTTTCTTAAACAATTTACTCAACTTAAAAGATATAGTGTAACTCATATAAATTTTTTTATCAAAACTACACGGTTTTGGAGGAATCTTGAATAGACGAAAAGGAGTTAATACACTTCCAGTTATGTAAATGATATTTACTTTGCCTTCATCCCAACAACACTACAAAAAATATAATATATACATAGAAGGCCAAGGCGAAGAAATATTGAGAACCGCAAAAGCTCCATCTCATGAATACTATTACAACTAGAATTGAAAAAAACACTGTTAAAAAATAGTTACATTTTAAAACGTGTTTTTTTCTTAAAGATTTTATTTCAATATTAACAGATTTATAATTGCTCCTGTTTTAGGTCTAGCAAACAGTGACAATTCACAAACTAGCGAACATAAACCTATACAATGTTATGATTGTAATTCAGAGTACGATCCTAGATGTGGTTTGGATTTTGACAACTACACCATAGGCGTCGTTAATTGTAACGAGAAAAGGAAATTAGATCATATGAAAACATTTGTTCCCATTTTGTGTAGGAAAGTTATTCAAAAAGGTAAGTTATTATAATTCATTTCTATTCATATTAATCAAAATTAATATAATTATTTAATAATACGAATCATAAAAAACGGAAAACTTATTATTAGGAATTTTGGTTAAATTTGTAGTCAAATCAAGATTCTCAGTGAATGCTTACCTAAATTTTGCTACCTTGAATCCCACAGATATATGATTAAATCCTGTAGGTATATATAGCTATTAATCCATATTTGGGCTCCCTTGGTCCGAAAATAATGGTAGTCTTTCCATATTGACATTTCACCAGAGCAAGGTGAAGGTTATAACCTTTTGAATACTAGGTGGAGATGGTGAAGTTGTTCATTCCAGTTGTTGTAAATGATAACGTCGTCTAAATACGCATATTCTGTGGTACCTAGAAGATATTCCGAAAAATGTCACAAATTAATATTCTTCATTCCTAGTCCGAATGCTATGGCTTGATTTCTATAGTAATTTGTTATAGCTATTCCTATATTATATTAAGATTGGCAAAAAACAACGCAGAACTTTTTGTCTTCCGCATAAATTATATTTGTTCATTAAACAAAGCACATAATTCAAAGCCACGGAGCACATTGGGGTGCCAAACTTCTATATTTCAGTACATTATAGCTGAGACTTCGTACAAAAACGTTATTTGAATTATCAAATCCGAGATAGGACTTCTAATGAAGTTAAATATAACTGTGGAAAAGTAGCAAAGAAGGTAACAATTTTTGCCAAGTTTGATCAATCGGTCTACATTTTTTTACTTTCTCCGAAACATTAAGACACATAAACTGTCGTCATTTAAGGAGTCGAACCAAGTTTTATATGAAGAATATAACATTTTGCTTTTTTACATTTTTATGACAATTGCACAATTGCAAAAACGAATAATACAATAATTCTACGTAGTACGTATGGTCATACAGAACCATGTCAGCTTACGATGGGAATGTACTGTCAAGTATGCCACTTATACTTATATTAGAAGAGAAGAAAATCTTGATGTAGAAAACATATTTGATAAAGTCTGGCACCAAGAACTAAAAACCAAAATAAAAATTAGAAAGCCAAAACAGTACCGTGATCTGTTGAGTTATAGTAAAATAAATATTTCAAAGTTAAAGAAATGAATGCCAGTGTTATCTAACAATAAGTCAGTGTACCCATTGTTCACGACAGATCTATCCCAATCATCTGAAACAGCGACTACTACTTGCAGATGATACTACACTACTTGCTGTAGAACCATTGAAGATTAAGATAACTCAAGGACTAAAACTTGAAAAATAAAATTAACCGAAAATAAATCGACACACGTGAACTTCATAAAGAAAAAAACACCTGTCGGTGGCAATTAATAACAATGTCATTCTAACATGCAAATTCTGCCAACTTTTAGACATGACATTCAATGTTAAATTACAATGCAAAGAGTAAGTGAAAAGGAAAAAGGCAAAACTAGAACTAAAATACAGGAATGCATAATAAATTTGCTGATTTATGAGCAAACCAGTTTGACATTGCAAATGCGCATTGGTACAAAAGGAATAGTGACCTCCACAGAGATTTAGAGTAGCTACGATGAAAGAAGAAATTGAGAAGTACACTCAACGACATGAACAATGACTTCTTCATTATATCAATGAGGGGCCATCTAACTTTTGGACTATAATAGCCAGCTAGAACGCAGACTTCAAAGAATTAAACCATTTGATTTGGTGTAGTGAAAGTGAACACAAAGCAGTGAAAATAGTTGTTAGTACGGGATAATATGTATGCCAGGCATCAGGAAGCTAGAGAAACCATAGGGTCAAACTCTAGTAATTTTCCTTTGAATATACCTTGAGCAAGTCAATCATGCAGGATTGAGTTATTCAAAGTAAGGAAATACTGAAGCTTTTAGCTTAAAGGAATTATGTAATATGAATCCAGTTTCTATTTACTGATGTATAGATGAAATTACTTCGATATTGAGAGAATCAGGGAAAAGAACGAAATGAAAAAAGTTCTACAAAACTGTGGATTGAGAAAAAATGAGAAGTTGATTTCCATCATACTTCAAATTTGAGTTTAAAAAAAATGGACTTATTGCTGTTATTGCAGTGACAAAAATTATCCCAAATATAGTTTAATTATTTGAACTTTCCCGATATTACAGGAAAAGCGGAGGATCGTTATGGCGCAAATTTTGAAGTTTCCACAATAACAAGTGTTGGGGTGAGGAACAGAACGAGATATGGTGTACTTTAGAGAAGTGATAACCACTTAAATGATGAAGTGACATTACTATATTCGCTTTGATATTTTGCAATTAAGAGTAATTAATTTGATTTCACAGCCACATTGCTATTTCAAATGAGTCATAGAAATTAAGTAAATGTAACTGGGAAACCCGACATAAACCATACATCGGTAGGCTGCTCCGTTATTGAGCTTGAACTCATGCGATTTTTCTGATTTTTCTCGCATTTGCACCCTTATATTGCCAAACGAAAACTATGTCTGTACATGAATTGGCGATGCATGGAACTGAGCTAAAATGTATGTTCTGATTTAGATGGATTTAAGCGAGAGGCATTTCTGTGCTAAGAATAAAGGTCAATCTGGTGTATGTGATATGTTCTGTGGTGTTCTACATCACATTATTTGTGTTTTACATTTCTATTTATTAATTATCTAAGAAGGTAGCTCAGCTGTAGATATCACTTGTATTAAATTTGTGTTTTGCTGAGGGATTATTTACCTCTAACTTGCACGTGAATGTTATTATACTTAACGATAACCCCATGATAAAAACACAATATTCCATGTTACCAGTGACAAGCAGAAAAAATTTAGGCATTATCTATACTGTATATTCTAACACAGTTTAATAATGTTAGTTTCATGAATCAAAATATTGAATTACTACGATTATGTGATAATGACAATACATTCAGATTGAAAAATGTGTTTTTCCTGATCAATGGAAGCTTTCCAAATCTTGATTAGTTGGTCCCCGTTAAACTTAACAGAATCTTATTAATCATTTCCAAAGTGTTTGAAAGTTGAGACTGTGGGAATTTTTAAAGAAATCCATATCAGTCCACTCAAGTAATCTCTTTTAGATATGACAAATGTGCGCAACTGTATCTCTGTGTACCTCACATGTATATTAACCCACGATCATCAATTAACAACTGCTTGGAACAAGAATAGTTTTACATTTTCATTTTTTCTCGAAATCTTCGATTATGATCTCTAAAGGCATTTGTGCAATTAATTTTATTAATTCTTTTTTAAGACATTAAATGTGTTATTATAAAAACGCGTAACAAATATTTCAAAAGGTTTTAAAAAATTACCTTTTAATCGTTTTATTTTCGTTTAAAAAGAGTATGCATTCACCTCGAAGCCCTTGCTACACAGAGAACCGTGAACTTTCAGGATTCTGACGTCATCAGTCGATAATGCCCTTGCTGCAGAAAGCATTCGGTTACGTCACACTTAGTATTTGCCATGTTTTCAGTCCTTCCTAAACAGGTCATCCATAAAATATATTAACCAAAATATCATTAGGTCACAAAATTCAAATTTTATCGTTGTTGAATAGAAGAAAAATTATAAATATTTGATTCACTCGTAACAAAAAATGTGCATGTCTTTGTTAAATTGTAATGTCTAACCTAGTTACCTACATTCATGGAGAAACCATATAATACATATATCGATATTAGTTCCTGAAAATGTTCTTGTAATTTTTCGTTTAAAATTTTTGTTTGTTCTAGTTCATGGTAAAATAAGGGTAATTCGTGGTTGCGGTTATATAAAAGATGAAGATCACGACGATAAGGAATGTTATACGCGTTCCGGTACACATGACGTGAAAGTAACATATTGCTCCTGCACTACGAGCCTATGCAACGGAGCACCCCGATTTGGGTATCCTGCCGAGGTTTCCGCTATTTGCGGTACCGCTTTCCTAGCGACGATCATAATGACCGCTTGGATCAACTAAATAGAGTAAATAATAATCAAAACGATAAAAAAAAATAAATAAAATAGATAAATCGATACATTCGCAACATTTTTGTTTTAAAAAATCCGATTTTAAAAAATGATAAAAAGAAATTTTGTCGTCGAATTAATAAAAAATAATGAAAATGGCTAGAATAAAAGCGAACAAACAACAGTAGTAGCAAATTTATCCGGTAGAATTTTATCAGGTTTTTGGATGTTTAGATGTGTTAAGAATATAATTGACTTAACTTCGAAGTATTCTAATTATAATTAATAACAGGGTGTTTAAGAATTGTTATTGTTTCATGTCATTACATGAAATTATTATAATTTTTAAATATTTGTTATGTTTGTTCGTTGATAGGCCGTAAAGAGTTATTAAAGAATCCTTAATTTTAGTTATATAGGGTGTCCCACGGATCTTCGAAAACATTCTACAAGCTCAAAGCCGAGGTTGTTTGCGCAGGCAGCATTACAACCTGAAAGGTCAAAGTTTTCCCCATATTAGCATTTATTCTAGTTTAGGTACAATGAGACGAGGTTGCTTGCTGCCGTAGCCTTCAATTTCATGGTCGAGTTAAGTAACGTTTATGCCTAATGACTTCAATCGATCCAGAAAAAATTTTGGAATGATTGTTAAAGCTCACTATTATATATAGGACAAGATGTTTTTGAACAACATTTACAGCTTTTAAAGACATGTTAGAAATGATCAAATGCAATCTTTGATTCTTTGATTGCGTATATTAATCGGCTTGATGATAACGTATCGCAGTAAACATGTACTTAATTGTACTTAGCTTGTGAAATGATGGTGTTTAATACAGTCGTGCTAAGAGGAATGCTACAGAAGAATGAGTCATCGCAGGTATTGCACCCGACGGAATTCAATAGCTAAGAGAATAAAGTTTATTTAGAACAGCATTACAAAACTTAGAAGATCTGAAGTTAATGTTAATTTCTCTGACCAATTTCAATGGTGTTCAACTATCCGACAGCAATACGACCATGAGAATTCCAAGACATCCAAGACCAAATGAAACTATTGCATTATGTTGATAACAAGAACAATAGGATCGGGGTACATTATCGCGATGAAGAACATGTTAATTATTTTTAAGGAGGTTGGTGCCACTGTTTTGACCACAATTAATTGACAGCAAGTATGTTGGGAAAGCTGGTGAGCTGCAAAGCAACATCTGGAAGGTGAATCTGTGATTTGGGACATCTTAAAAAGTTGTTTTAAAACACTTGTTTGTATATAATATTAATAACTTGTAGTTGGGGTTGTAGAAAATGTTATAATACAATAACTGTTGGGATTGTAGAATTTGTAACTCGTGCTTTGACAGCAATAAACTTTTAACCTTGTTTTTCCACCTATTTTACAAGCCGATATCTTCGTTGACTTTACAGATGGCGGAATATTAAATGCACAACTAGAAAGCCTGATCTTTTCTTCATCTAAAACTGGTTAAGATAAAATTTGCTACAACTTTTAATCTAACAGTTTTTTATAATATGCTACAAATTCCGAGCGTTACTATCAACAGTATATAAAATTACTTGTCGATTTTTATCCATCTGACACAAAAAGTGAAAGGGAGCAATATTTTTAGTTTAGAATAAAATTGGCTACAACTTTTGTTCTAAGTTTTTTTTGTAATATGCAGCGAATCCAGATTATCTCTAACTAATGTCTAACAAATGGGCGGTCTACGTCTTCAAAATCGGACAAAACTCGGAGAGCATATGGAATCCATAGAAAATATTCCGCATGATACGGTGGTATACAAGTTTAATAGATCGCATGATTGCACAAACACTTTCCCCCAAAAACTATGAAAAGCGCGTATAATTGCCATATGCAAATGTTTTCTGCGTCAAAACTTTCTTATATAATTGGGACAAAACTCTGAAACCATAAAAAATCTACAAGAACATTCCCTCTCTATGCAGTGAAGCCACCGACTAAACTTATTACCACTTCAATCAAGTGATATCATCCCAAGTATCACGAACAATACTTAGGGCGGCCTAAGTACACTTTAAGCAGGGTCTATTTGGTTTCACGTGTAATAAGCGATCTATTAGATTTCAAAAAGTTCTGCCATGAACAATACTTGGAGCGGCCGACGTCTTCGAAGTCGGCCGAGGTTATTTAGGTGATACTCGGGATTCGAAGCGAGTTGCAAAGTTCTGCTGTTGAAGAAGAAATAATCTTCGAAGATATCGGCCGCTCTAAGTATCACGAACAATACTTCGGGCGGCCGAGATTATTTAGAGATATTCGAGTTTCAAAGCATATTACAAAAAAACTTTTCGATCAAATGTTGTAGCCAATTTTATTCTTAATAATATTGCTCTTTTTCATTTTTTTGCCAGATGCATAAAAAACGAGAAGAATGCAAACATAATATTATATTAGATTTCGCAAAGTTCTGCCATGAACAATACTAGGTGCGGCCGACGTCTTCGAAGTTATTTAGGTGATACTCGGGATTCGCAGCGAGTTGCAAAGTTCTGCTGTTGAAGAAGAAATAATCTCGGCCTACTTTGAAGATATCGGCCGCTCTAAGTATGACGAACAATACTTAGGGCGGTCGATGTCTTCGAAATTAGTCAAGATTGTTTCTTATATCACGAACAATACTTGGGAGATACTTTAGTATTTTTCAGAGATACTCAGGATTTGGAGCGTTTTGCAAAGTTCTGCTGTAGAAGAAGAAATAATCTCGGCCGACTTCGAAGACGTCGGTCGCCCCAACCCCAAGTACCACGAACAATACTCACTTTTTTTTCAGATGCATAAAAAATGAGAAGAATACGAAAATAATATAGTATTAGTTTTACATGCTTAGTAATGCTCGGCATGTAGAGCATATTACAAAAACTCTTTAGAATAAAAGTTGTAGCAAATTTTGTTCTTAACCAGTTTTAGATGAAGAAAAGATCAAGCTTTGTAGTGGTGTATTTAATATTGCACTATCTTAAAGACAACGAAGATATCGGCTTATAAAGTAGGTAAAAAACAAGAGTAAAGGTTTGTTACTGTTGTCACATGGGTGAAAATGTAGTCATTTTATCAATCGATTATCCATATGACACCCTATATTTCCTTAGGATTTCTAACCGTTTCGTATTCGGAATAATCTTTATTTTTGTTTCTTTTGTGAACACTGCCATAACGGCCGTATTGGCATCTAGTCAAGCTTGTCCGCAATAATTAACATACTAGCCAATATGAAAAGATTTAAGAAAAAAAAGAGCATCAAAAAAAAATTGTTAACCGTGCACTATTATAATACCTTGTAGAAAAATAAAGTGTAAAATGATTCTTTATTTTATCGTGAGAATAAAATTTCTTCAAAAATAAAGTTTCAATACACTATGCCTTTGAGAAAAAAAAAACTAAAAAAAAATCATTGTAATCGCAGTTGGTGAAGAATTTTTAACGATTTTTTTTAATATCAATTTAATTCACCTAAATTAAATTCATCACTAGTCTGCGAAAATGACAAGTTGTATTTGTTTATAATTTTTGCATAGTAAAAATGTTCACATTTTAGAGTAAATTTATGTATTCCTTGTGGAAAACAATCGTGTATGGTGATAAAACATGCATTTCTTTGCGTAAATCTTAAGCTATAATCTCATACTCATACCTCTATAATTTTTAAGATCTGAAAAAAACATACAAATAAGAAAATCGAAATTGCAATGATGATTAGCTCGCTTTGCACACCAAACAAAAAGGGTAATTATTTATAATGATTTATAATAATTATTTAATGGGTGTTTAAAAAATTATTCAAATTCAAAATAATTAAAAATTCCCAAAAAAAAAAAAATAAAATAAAATAAAAAAATTGATTAAACACTTATTACTATAAATGAATTTTAAGATTAATGATTTTATATTAAATTTAAAAGGTGGGTGAGGGGTGGTCCTATAAAATATTTCCGTTCGACCTCTAAAATAGTACAAAAATAATAAGGGATTAAAAAAATTATAACCCACATTTTAAAGCGTCCATATACAACAATGATAAATAAAATAAAAATACAGACCCACAAACATTCCTAAGATGATGATATTTTCGTTGTTTTTCCGGAGTCTCTAAAATCAAACACTTAATAATAATATTTAATAATATTAAAAAATATTTATTAATTAATGAAAAAAATTTTAACTAAATTTATGAAAAAATAATTATATTGCGAAAAAGGATATAAGAGGTGTACATTTTTCTCGGAGAAGGTTTAGGTTTACTCTGTAAATAAGAAAATAATAAATGTTTCGATTTCGAGACGAATTTATATTCACGATATTTTTTTAAATGGTTTAAGTGTTGTTCGCTATGCACGCCGCGTAAAATTATATTTATTATTATTATTTTCTTGACATGTAATTGTCCACGTCTTGTATGTTATGTCTAGAAATAAATTCATTGTTTCACTAATTTTAAAAATTTATTTATCCAAATTTATGCATACCTCAAAAGCATTCTTAAAAAGCAATTTATTTTATCACAAGAAAGCTACTGGCAGGTTAATTAAAGAAAATGAAAAAGGAAACACATTCATTACAAAAAAGATAATATTATTTTCCAGCTTCTTCTTTTAAAGCGACGGTTTGATTAAAAACAATTTTAGCAAGTGTAGTATCAGGATCGACAGAGAAAAACCCAAGCCTTTCGAATTGAAATTTATCATAAATTTGTACTGAAGCAAGATATTTATCCGCGTAACTTTTAATTATTCTCAACGAATCTAAATTGCAATCGGATAAAAATCCTCCAGGTACTTGATTAACATCTTCAGGATTTTTATGTTTAAACAGAAGATCATATATCCTCACTTCAACTTCTTGAGGGTCACTAACCCAATGAATGAAAGCTTTGGGTTTTTTATCAACTTTATCAACAGGTGTACATTTACATAATAACTCAATTGGTTCATTCGACGAATTTTTTATTACTTCATCAACATCTAAAACAACTCCAGCATAACGAAGTCCAACACTTTGTTGTTTAGTTAAGCGTCGAAAACTTTTATCTCCAACCTTAAAATCATTAAAAATATTACTAAATAATTATTGAATTAAATCAAGTTACCTCAATAAAATCATCCTTCTCAATATAAATCACTTTATCAAAAGTAATGTTATGACTACCTTTTTCAGGTTGAGATGGAAAATTAGGAACCGAAACCTTAACTGGATTTTCATGCGGAAAATTTTTTATCGTTATTTTTAGTGGATTTAAAACAACCATCGATCTATGATATATTTAAATATTATTTTCTAACAAATTTCTTTTTTTACCTTTTTTATTCGTTACCTTGGAGCATAAATATCTAAATAAGATCGAACATATGCCTCCAACATTCCTGGGTCAACCGTACTTTGAGCGCCAGTAACACCAAGTTGAGCACAGAAATTGTTGATTGCTTCTGCAGGAAACCCTCGTCTTCTTAATGCTGTTAGGGTAAATAATCTAGGATCATCCCAATCTTAAAATTAATTCAACATATATTTTCAAAAATTATCATCTTAAAAACAATTTTGTACCATTAACAATTTTTTCTTCAATCAATTTAGCAATTTTTCTCTTTGAAACAACAGTATAATTAACATTTAATCGTCCATATTCCCATTGAACAGGGCAATAAATATCAAGAGCGTTACACAACCAATAATAACTGGATCGTCTGTTATAAAAAAAAATATTAATCGTGTTTTTAAAAATTAACCCGATAGGACGCGCGCATCTTTTAAAGATAATCTTGGGATTCTTTGTATTTGATCGTTGACATCGGTGTTGGTAAATGAGAAAATGATTGCACTATTGAAAAATAAAAGAAATGAACAAGATAAAAGTTTCGTCGAAGTTTATTGGTGTCTTATATGGAGTTGCTTCTCTCAAAAGCGAAATGGTACTCAATGGAAAAGAGAGGAAACAGTTATAATTTAGTATCCAATAGACCTGGGCCTAGAGGAGTCTCAAAAAAATTGCTTGACGTCAATAGATGCTTGGAATTGCATGATCACCAGCACTTCTCTGAGAAGTTCTTTCTACATTACAAGAAAGTATGCAAAAATCATAATCGAATATGCAAGGTGATGCAAATCCAGATGAAAAATTTACAAAAATTTTTACAATTAATATGTCCAAAGGCTAAAGTGGTTGAAGAAGAGATGAGACACAACCAAAACGTCCAATGATTACATTTAATGGCGAAAAATTTTTTTTGCTATGTCACTGCATATTTGTTTCGTGGCTAAATTCATGCTTTGTAATTTTCCGTTATGCCATCTGACGAGGGATTCCCCGTCCTTACTGTGATTTGATTTGGGTCGAGTCGAAATTGAACCTTGTAATTACCCGCTGTGCTGAAGAAATACTACATAATTCAGCATGTCAAAACGTCATTGCACCAGAAAAAAACTAATTCATTTTTTTGACACGTTATCAAATTCTCTGTAAAAAAGTGTCCATATAATGTCTTAGTTATAATACTCCACCTACAATAAGAACCAAGATATTGCACTTGCTGGTTTTACAATATTTTCAATTTTGGTCTCTAGGGGATTTTTGGCATTAGCAGTTTCTCGAAGAACGAGATCATGACATGTAAGCTACTTTATTTCTAACTCTTATAGTTTAAAATATGAAATTTAAAATAGTATAATTCATAAGTTTCTTGTCGACTTACTTTAGGTACTTTATTTCAATAAAAAAAATTTATATTTTCCATTCCCCTGAACCCGTTTTTGATGCCCAATTTACCATATCTAGCACCAATCAGGCTGGCGTCTGAAGAGGTTATGGGTAGAATTGTTTAAAAACAGGTTACCAAAAAACCCACAACCAGATCTAACAAGATAGGGAACATGGTTAAATGCCGCTATATGCTACACAAATATTTTGGACAGTTTCAAAATGTTAATACTCAAATTTCCAACTATAGCTAGTAATCTAATACAAGATTGTCAGGCTGTACTAAAAGAAGTAGAATTACAAAATAATTTGGCGTTTATAAAAACCAATTATAGTCATGTAGTGATTCTATAAAATCACTTCAGAAGCAGGATTTGCCTTTGGCAGTATAGATGATTAAAAATTTTGGAGGCAGCACCAGAGCATATTGGTCAAATAACTGTAAGTAAATTAAATGGCTGATTTTATAATGGATCCCGCATTAATTACAAAATTCAAATATACTCCAATTAAAACTGTCGACGTAGCAAGAAGTTTTTCGGCTTACAAAATTACAAGATGTACCATTTTGTTGTAAGCGATGTTTTTTTTTTTTGAATAACTTGAAAACAACTCAATATTTTGTTTGAATTCGATCGTTTTATTGAAATTTGGACCTGTACAATTTGTTTAGTCACTTTCTGAAAATGATAGGTTGCTTCCTCCAGCTGTCACTACAAAATCGGTCCTTTTTTCGACGTTTTTCACACTTTTGCCAGTGTTATGGGCGTTATTTCGGCGATTTCCTGGCGTATATTGACTTTAAGTTGCTCGAGAGTGTCTGGCTTATTGACATAAACCTTGCAGGAAAAAGGAAAAAGTCAGGAGGCGTTAAATCAGGCGAATGCGCCGGCTAGTCGTAATCCCCATTTTTCGATATCAATCGATTTTAAAACATGGTACGCATCAAATCCATTGTTAATCGAGCAGTATGGCATGTTGCACCATCTTGCTGAAACCAGTAGTTCTCCATGTCATTTTCTTCGATTTGCCAAAAAATCGCGTATCATGGTCTGATATTGCTCGCCATTGACCGTCACCGCCGCGCCGTTGAATATCGGCACTATAGCTGTTGTACTATAGCGTTATCATTACGGCATGTACGGGTCTTAACTTTGTGCTTTCATGTTGCCAAAGAACCACTGGTATTGATTTCGGCACTAAACTTCGAATTGTCTTGGCTGTGGGCGTTGGACGACCATGATATTTTCCTCTGTACGCGTGTTGAGCTTGTTTGGAAACAAAATTTCACAATTTCTGCATGTTCTTTAGGTGTGTAGCGAACCATGGTTAAAATGGTACTACATTGACATTTCCAATGCGCCATCAAACATGGTGATTTCACAGCTGGTTGTCAAGTTATTCAAAAGAAATATTGGTTACAACAAAATGAGATAACTTTGTAATGGAATATTTAGAATAGCATTTAATAATTAGTTATTTTCGGGATTACTAGTTTTCTCTGTATAAATTTACTCAGAAATGTAATAAAATGTTAGTTTTTTCAAATGTTATGCATTATTAAAAAAATATGCCTTTTTAATGCGTTTTTATCAGAATTTTAACGTGAATTTTTTTGCATTTTTGTTTTTATTACATACGCGCGTCCCGTCAGGTTAAAAAAAAACAAATTACCTGCTTTGAAATTCTTTGGTACATAAAGAATGAGTGATATGCTCAATACTATCACATAGACAATGAGTGTAATCATAAGTAGGATAAATACACCATTTATCTCCTGTTCTATGATGGGGAACAAATCTTACTCGATAAGCTACAGGATCTAATTTTCCTTCTTCTAAAGTTATCTTCATACGTAAAGTTGCAGCGCCCTCATCAATTTTTCCATTTTTCATATCCTAGATAATAATTAACATCATTAAAGTACAAACATTTTTTAGTCTAACCTGAAATAATTGTAAATTTTCAAATACAGGTCGATCTCTCCATGGTGATGGTTCAGGATTAAATCCTTTCATTTCATCTGGAGTTTGATGACAAACATAGGCCAAACCCTTTTTAATCAATTCAATCGCCCATTCATACAACTGATCGAAATAATCAGATGAATGAGTTATTTTAGCAGGGGTATAACCTAAAATAAATCGAAATAATGTAAAATCTTAAAAATTTATTTTTTTTTTCCCACCTAGCCAATTAACCATATCTTTAATACCGGTAAAAAATTTTTCTTCTTCTTTCTCTGGATTGGTATCATCATATCTTAAAAAACAAACTCCATTTTGAGCTGCTGCATACCCAAAATTAATGTTAATCGCTTTTGCGTGCCCGATATGTAAAATTCCATTTGGTTCTGGTGGAAAACGAGTCCGAACCGATTTTCCGGTAATTTTTAAATGATCCGCGAGTAATTTATGAGTATTTTCAGTTAGAATGTAGCCGTCGGTTTTATAATTATCGCCAGGTGAATGAAAGTTTACTTTTTTCATTACATCTAACATGGTAAGACCGGTTTTGTCATCTAATAAAAATTGAAAATAATAAAAAATAACAAAAAAAATTAAATAAATTACTTGATGTTTTTAATTCCATCTTTTCTTTTGGTTGTACTTTTGGTTTTTCTTCCGATTTCGATTTTGTTGCACCTTTTTTATCCACCTTTGCAATTGGAGCTAAATCAAGTTCAGTTTTAGGTCCCAATAAACAAACAATCTATAAAAATATTTTTTGGATTAATTCCTTTTTAATAAAATTTTACTAACTTGAACATCCATTTCATTTTTAATCGCCTTCCCATCAGCCCATGGTAACTCATTCCTAACTTTTTGCATAATCAACCCAACATTATACCTATACCTTTTTTCTAATAACTCCTCTTTAACTTCTCCGATTTGCTTTTCAATACACTTTTCAATATCTTCTGGGCTAACCACAATTCCCACTCCACAAAATTTCTCAAATTCACTTTCATTAATATTATTAATATGTGATAAAACATACTCAATAGCTTTATCAACCCGTACAGTTGTATTAAGTTTGTTGGTTACAATGTATTTAGTTAAAAAAGGTAAATGATTGCTTATTTGGGGTTTCGTTTTCGTGGCCAGATGGTAAAGCAACATTCCTGCACCTTCTGGTATTACAACATCTCTCACCTAGAAAGAATTCAGATGAATATAAAGTACAAGAAAATTTAATTGAAATTACCTCATGTAAAATAGAAGATAAAGTTTTTGTAACTGTTGCATTTTTATAAGTTTCTTTAGCTTTTTGTTCGCTTAATCCTAAATTAATAAATGATTTTATAATCGACTTTTCGTCTGCAACCATTTTTCCCAATTTGAAATGTCCTTTTGACACTGACAGACTGGCCACGTTGGTTTTGAAAGGTTAAAAATAGGATACGTTCATGAAATATTTGTTGCTAAATACTTTCAATATATTGTTACTCTGGTAATTAATAAGAAAATTAATTTGGTGATAACTTAAATTTTATAATATATTATTATTAAATAATGAAAATTACTTAAATAAATTAAATTTATCCTAAATTAATTGGGTTGGTATCGTAAGTTGGTAATAAAAAATTTACTGTCCACCATCATTTTTGTAACTAAGTGCGCAGTCGCCAGTTGCATAACATCTTTTAGAAAATTCCAATAATTATACAAGAAAACGATCAAAATGATTAAACCAGTAAATATACCAAAATTAGTTAAAGCAACAAGCCATATAGTAGCATCGACGATAACTCCAGCATCAGCAGCGGCTGTTTTGCCTAAACGAGAAGTTACCAAAACCCCTATAACTTTGTTAACCAGTTACTCCTTGTCCCAAAGTTTACCAACAGGCAATGTTTCCATCAGATCAGGCCCAGGGGTTACAACCCAAGTAAGATTTGCACACACTGATGCTGTTGCATGTCCAGATTTTTCAGAGTATAGACGTGATAGCACTAAGAACCCCAATGTTAAGTCTGCGCAATCTGAAGAAGTTCGTAAGAATTTTACTTACATGATTGTTGGGGGAACATCAGTAGCAGCTGCCTATGCATCTAAAGCTGTTGTTACTCAATTTATTAGCACCATGGCTGCTTCTGCTGATGTATTAGCTTTGGCTAAAATTGAGATTAAATTAGCTGATATTCCTGAGGGAAAATCTGTTACCTTTAAATGGAGAGGTATGTTTATTTCTAAATTTTGTTTTTTTTATTAATTTTTAATTTTTGTTAGGTAAACCATTATTTATTAGACATAGAACAGCTGATGAAATTGCCCAAGAAAGATCAGTGCAAGTAGGAACATTAAGAGATCCACAACACGACCACGAAAGAACCATTCGTCCTGAATGGTTGGTTGTTTTGGGAGTATGCACTCATTTGGGTTGTGTCCCAATTGCTAATGCTGGCGACTTCGGCGGTTATTATTGTCCATGCCATGGTTCCCATTATGACGCGTCTGGTCGTATTAGGAAAGGACCAGCTCCTCTTAATCTGGAGGTTCCTACACATGTATACCCAGATGATTCAACTCTTGTAGTTGGTTAATAATGTAGTAAATGGGAGTTAAATCAATGTGTACTATATTTATTTCGTAAAATGGCTTGTAATTAGTAAAATGGTCAAGAAAATTTTACAAGAAAAATAAAATAATTTTAAAAAAGTTTAACTTTTTGTTTTGGAAATTTTTTTAATGAACTTGTTTTTTTTTGAAATAAAGTCATGTGATAAAGTTACACAATGTGTTATTTTGACAAGGATATAAATGATGATTTAGACAAAATCAACATCAAAACGTTCAGTTTCAGTCCTTGCCCCAACTGCACATGCTAATAATGCTTGAATGCTTCTTTCTTCACCACTCCCATAAACATATCCATTTGCCTAAAACATATTAATAATTTAATAAAGTGTTTTACTTTCACATTTAGATTGTTATTTAACCTTATCAACAGCATTTTTTAGATTTAATAAACTCCTTTCTGATTTGATATCAACAGGAATGAAAGAAACCAAACTGTAATCTTCAATTAATCCTATTAATGATGCGTTCAACTTTTTATATTTCTTTGTAAATGGGCCATCATCTAATAATTCAAGTAAATATTTTAAATCCAATACATCTGTGTAAAAATCGACACCAAAATCTAGTTTTTCAGAATTTTTGCGTAAAAGATCAGCCTAAAAAAATTAAATCAAATGCATTAATTAATTTATTACATTATAAACAGAGATGTAAGTTATTTGAAATAAAAGTATTTAAAATACAAAATACGTATTTTGCATTTCAAATACCATTCCACCAAAAGTATTTTGTACTTTATTTAAGATACTTTTAGTAACTCATTTTGTATTTTGAAAATACTAAATACTAAAAAGTGCTGCGTGTGTAGGAGATTTAAAGGATCTCACACATATGACAAAATTGCCAAACTAATTTCTGTCATTCACTCAGAATATGATTCAAAGTTATTTAAAATTGTAAAAACCATTACTGATAATGGATCTAATATGGTTAAGGCATTAATAAGTTGCAGGGATATGCAACTCATACTCTGCATTTAATAGCTGCAAGGGATATAGATCAAGTTAGAACACAAAATAATCCTTGTAAGAAACTTTATGATGCAGTAAACAAGTGATAGTAACAGTAACACCACTACTAACTTAGAAATAGTTCATTATTTGAAAGATAGTGACGAATCTATTCGTCAATTTAATAATTTTGAATTAATTAATTTGAATTTTTTCAATCAATATCCATCAATTAAAAAAGTTTTTATTAAAGACCTGTATTCCAAGTTTTGCTGGAGGAACGCTTTTTTTCTTTTGGCCGAATGATAATGAGGCCTCATAGAAGGAAAATGAGCGACGAAATAAATTCATGTTCATATATAGCTTGGCTAATCTAATCCTGCAGTTCTTTTCCTAGAGACAATCAATAATCTGTAGCAGAGACACCAGATTGGATTTGCCAAGCTGTAGTTCATGTGGTCATTTTACCAGTTCACTAACGTAAATTTTTTCAATATATATTCTCAATACTCAGATATTGACAATATATGTGAAAAAACTTTAAAAAAACTTGTAGTGGTGTTTAAAAAAAGTATTTTGAAAATATGTACTTTGTATTTAAATACTAAATTAAAAAAAGTATTTAGTATTCTGTATTTCCAGTACAAAATTTTGAAATTTTTTGCATTTTATATTTAAATACTTACTACTCTGATTATAAATTAACTTACTTTACTTAAAACATTAACATGTGGTAATCCAATTTGTAGCATTGTAGACAACGAAAGTAATAAAGTAGAGATAAATTTGGATGGATCAGAACAGTAATGAGAATCAACCATATGAACTGCACATAAATGGTAACCCAATGGTTCAAGTTTAGCAAAAATATTTTTGATTGAGTTATGATGAGTGTAAAGTTCAACTTGCCCAGGCATATCGAAAAGTAAGTAGGAATGTTTGATGCTGTTTAATTTATCTAAAAGCCAATCATAATTTTGTTCTAAATATTCCATACAATACATCAAAGCTCCATTTGGGCCTAAAGATAAATTAGTCATTACTTCATCCACAGTTATTAAATCCATAATATCAACAGTTGCTTTTCGAACATTCTCATTAGCTGGATCTAAATTGATTATTTCAACTTTTCTATTTAATTTTTCTTTGTAAAAAGTGTGTATTTGATTGCAATATGTTGTTTTTCCTGAACCCGGTGGTCCTATTATTACTTGTCCATAAATATTATCGAAAGATTTAATACATTTCTTTAACGACATTCTTTATTTTCTTACGAGATTACCTTTTTTATACAACAACCAATTTCTTTAACAGTTTCCTTATTATATTTCGTAAGATTAACAAATATCAACAAAGGCTTCTTTATATCTAAATATTGAGCTAAATATCTTGCTGTCGTTTCTTGTTCAATAGTGATATCACCAAAAATTTGATCCACTTTGTAAACGAACTCAACCCCAATGTCAGTTTCCAAGCGTTCTTTAGCAATTTTCAAACAAGATCCAGCCTTTCCAAATTGAGTAATAATCAAAAATAATTGATTAGTAAACTCACAATACGCAATATCCGTTTGAATTTCGTCTATAATCTCTTTAGATATTTTAATATTTGATTCACCAAATGGTTCTTCCTCGTTTTTTAAAGACATTTGATTAAGCATACCGGATAAATCCATTATGCATTGTAACGGTATTATAAAAAGTGAGGTTATGTTTTACTTATTTGTCAAAAAGTGAGGTTAAGATTGTTATTAAATATACACTTTATTGATATTTCTTTATTATTGTCTATTATTAACATATAATTTACAAAAAAAAACATGTTTAAATTAATAAAAAAAAGTGATGATATACAGATTCCTTTTTATTCATTTTTTAATAGAAAGTGAGGTTATGTTAATTAAAAATTAAATTCATTAAATTAAAATTTTTCTTTTATTACAAATAACTTATTCTTTTAATATAAATATATCCCAAAAACAACAACCACGGAAAATATTGTTTCCTAAAACAAAAAGATTAAAATTAATAAAATATTATTAAAAATACTCACATTAATGAATTGTTCGCTTGTGTAACTATCTGTTTCGGCATCCCATAAACAACGAACCCCCGCTTTTACACCGGCACCTTTAATTTCTCCTATCGTTACTTGTACGATGTGTTTATAACGTTTCATTTGTAATTCTAAGGAAAGAAGATGAGTAACAATTATAATAGAAATAACTACTTAATGTTAACCTTTAACTTTTTCATTAATACTATTTGCCATTTTAATAGTCCAATTCTTAGCATTATTTGGACTGTAAACTTTCCCCAATAATGTTTCCGTTAAAACACTTAGTATAATCTCTTTTATTTGATTTCCTTTAAACCTAAAATATATTCCAAACTGTTTAACGTAATTAACGTGTTATTTGAGAACTTACTTGTCCGTAAAAGCAGGTCTTAACTGATAAACACTCAAAGCATCAACTGAATCATAACTTTTTGGTTTCTCTTCAGCTACAGACTCAGTTTTCCCGCGACTTTCTTGGATACTAGTATCACTATCCTGATCTCCCATTACAAACTGTTAATTAGAAATACCATATGAATAATCAGTAAAACTTTGATGAAAATAATTATTGCATTATTAGATTGTCAATTTGACTGATGATTTATTTTGGTAACCATGGTTACGTCCGTGAAGTTAAATTCAAAAAACTAAACTTTCAAAATCTTCTTTTAATATACAGTTTATATTTTTAAATGTTACCTAAAAGGATCTTGTTAAAAACAAAAACAATTCGTAACAAACAACGTTATAACCATAATAAATAACCAGTTAATTTTACAAATTTAATTTATTTTGAAAAACCGGAAATGCGTTCAAAACCCGATTTACACTCATCTAAATCAATCGTATTATTTCTGGTTTATTTTAGAGTCTAAAATACTGTAATTATATATTTATCAATATTTTTTGCTAAAACATTAATTACTATTGTAATGTACTCCTAAAGTTAAAATTAAAGTGTTAAACTAAATTATTGAAGAATAAAATTTTTGTGGTGTACGTTTGTTAAGGATCGATTTCGTCATAGAGGGCGCGTAGGGCCATTTCCGGCTACTCGGTTGTTGGCGTCCGCGTTGGATGGTGAATTTGTGTTATCGTTCCATGTATTTAATAAGAAATGATGGGCACCATGAGTAGTATTAAAGAAATTATGCAGTTTTGTCGATTATGTTTGGTTAAGGACCAAGTTAACGTTTCGATTTTTGAAGAACACGGTGATACGAGAGATGTAAAACGAAAAATTTCGGAGTGTTTGCCGGTTACGGTAAGTTGGCGTCCTCACGCCATTTTGTAAATTTTGTAATCATTAAAAAAATTGTGTTTTAATCTATATTATCTATTCAATCCTCTATATTTATTGTTTAATCAAAACAATTAATTTAATTGTGGTTAATAATTGCACGTTTTAACGATTATTATTTTTTTTTCTATAGGTTTCCGAAGAGGATAGTTTACCAAAAAAAATATGTGATGGATGTTTGTACAAATTAGAACTATTATATCAGTTTAGAACAACGTGCGTGAGTGCTGAAAAACAATTGCAAGTGTGGATTGCGGAGTTAAATAATAGTGAATCTAAAGAAGATCAGGACTTAAAACTGCAGCATTCTCAAACTAGTGTTAAAGAAGAAATATTTGATGCTACGGATCATCCAGATAATTCTGAATATGTAATAGAAGAACAACATATATCTTATGAAGAAGGTGACATTCCTTATAATGAATCTCAGGTAAAATTTTATTATATCTTAACATTTTTTAATCATTAAAATGATTTATTATTTAGGATGATAATGATGATGGAGATGCCACAAATTCATCTGATGATGAACCATTAGCCAAACGACGGAAAAGGTTTTTGGAGGAACAAGTGCAAACTGATGACACTTTAAAAACTGCCGATAACAAGATGGCAATCACAAAGGTATTAGCTTTGTTCCAATTGAACAAATTTGACCAGTTCATGTACGCATCCACAACTTTTTTCTGGGCATGTTCATGAATACATATAAAATTATCAACATTGTTGGAATAAATTGAAAGTTGTAGGCATGTTTTTTAGCCAACCCTGCTTGGAGTTGGCGTTGTAAACACAATTTTGGATTTAAAACGAAATCCATTTACTTAATTTATTTATGTCGTATACCATACATACTGTTTTTTAACAATAATGAATTAAAGTAGCAATAATTATAAATCTAAGAAAAAAATAAAACAAAAATATGTATCATAAACTTATCATAAAACATACATATGCAATAAAGTCCTTAAAAATTGGTTAAACAAAATGCCTGAAACACATAAAAGAAAAGATAATAAACCAAATCTAAACACTATATAACAATTATGTTGGAAATTTCAGAGCAAGAAACAAAAATTTTGATTGAAAATACTCTTTCATTCAATTGCTGTATTAGTTCCAGGGCAGCACAACATAAATTCAACAAGAAATTTTTATGTGATATTTGTGTTAGTCCATATTGGAAACATGTTTGGTAAAAATTCAACACATTTTTGGTAAACATTTCCATAATGCCCGGATTTGATTCCTCTAAGTTTAACAATTTCCTTTTTATTATTAAAGGAATAAATTTATCTTTAAGGGTATTTTTTTAATGTAATGTGAAAGATAATGTTTCACAACGTTTTCTTTTCATGAAAGTATTAGTTTTTTTAGAAAGTAGACAAAGAATATTGGTACAACCTTTCTTTTAATATCATTTTACATTTAAATTACATAGTAAAAGACTTAAAGAAAGCTTAAATTCAAGCTACTATTCAAAAAACTTTTTTTTTTTTTTTGATTGAAGCATTTACATTCTCTAGATAATATGAAACAACAAATCAAATAGGTTATTAAAACTTAGGTTTAGAGCTACAGGCTGAACTACATTTAAGTAAAAATATGTAAAAGTTTAAAAATTGAAATCGCTTGAAATTTAAATTTCATTTTTCAACATGTTCTCGTTTTTATGTTCTCAGAGAAATTTTTGCAAATGTGAGAATTTTGATAGAATTCTAGTTCAGGCTTCTACAATGATCAGGACGAAAAAAATGTAAGACAAAAGTACAACATAAATAAATGATGCGTTTTAATATATCATTTATTAACAATATGTTGGAAATTTCAGAGCAAGAAATACAAATCTTGATTGAAAAACCACTTTAATTCAACTGATGTATTAGTTCCAGGGCAGCACAACATAAATTCAACAAGAATAACTAAATTTTTATGTGATATTTGTTTTAGTCCATTCTTGGACATATTGGAAACATGTTTGGTAAAAATTCTGCACGTTTTTGGTAAACATTTCCATAATGCCCAAATTTGATTCCACTAAGTTTGACAATTTCCTTTTTATGATTAAAGGAATAAATTTGTCTTTAAGGGTATTTTTTTATTCTAATGTGAAAGATAATGTTTCACAACGTTTTCTTTTTGTGAAAGTATTACTTTTTTTTTTAGAAAGTAGACAAAGACTATTGTTACAACCTTTTCTTTATTATCATTTTCATTTTTCAACATGTTCTCGTTTGGTATTCTGAAAGAAACTTTTACAAATGTAAGAATTTTGATAGAATTCTACTACAGACTGATGTTTCTAATGAAATTTTTTCGAAATGTTTATAATAACCGCAACTGTTTAAAGTCGTCTAATAGGAGATCGTAAATTAGGCTCAGGCAATCGGCCCGACCTATCGCCGGTCCGCCCCGCCGTTCTAAACTCGTTTCGCGTGTTTATTTCTCTTTCCGTGAATTGCTATTGGACGACTAAACAGTTCCCGTGCTGTTATTATAAACATTTGGAAAAAAATTTCATTAAAAAAAATCGCTTCAGAATAATGTATCCTTCAACCGTATAATGCACTCATGCGGAAAATACACGACACCCCTGTATTCCCAAAAATATATGAAAAGTGGTAACACTTTTGTTCTTATCATTTGATGATCGCTTCCAATTGAAAACCTGTTTAGTACGGGACACGTCTTTTATAAGAGTAGTCGATTTTGTTTTTGGTATGACTATCTGGACTGACCCATCTCCATTTACGGTGGGGTTTCTTGTTAAAGAAAGACATCATTGCAAACAAGTTGTTCTGTTCTCCCATCCATAGTCACCCATTGAGTTTTCTGATTGGTCTTATTTTTTCCCCAGTTTGAATTAAAGTCGCCTGCTTACAGCATGTAGTGAACATGGTGTCCTTGCATGGCCATATTAATATCATAGCATCGGTCAAGTTCTTCTTTCGAATTTGATGTAAGAGTGTAGGTCCCTATAACCTTGAGGATGTATCTGAAATTTAGTCGCAAAATCAGGTAGATGACTCTGGGGCTTATAGCTTTGATATCTATTACATCTAATATAAGTTTCTTGTGAATTATAAATCCTACTGCTTCTTCTGATGCATCGTTGTATTCTTTGAATTGGAATAGGTATCCTGTCCTAACCTTAACAGACACTGATATACACACTGCCCAAATTGATGTACGTTATGGGCAAGCGGTAAAGGACGTGACAAAACTTAACTACTCTAGCCCAGGAACGAATTTAACTGATCGTGGACGCGTACATGAACTTGCCCGACGATCACTAGCACGCTTGACATAAAATCAAAGCGTCTGACCGTCAATTGACAGTCAAAAATGTGATTGGAACAAAACAATTAAAAATTCTTAAAAAATATTTTAAATTATTTATTTCCCAATGATTAAAAAATGATAAGGAGAGATGACGGAAATTGTTATACAGTTAATAACTGTTCATAGTGTTCATCACTGTGGTTTGCAATGACTTCCGTTCGTGGCTCAATGACTCTTAAGATTATGAGAGCTGAGGGAAAATATAAATATTTTAAAACAAAATACTTTTAGTTTACTTTTAATTTATTTATTGATTGTTTTTTTTATATATTTGATTTCAGTTAGAGCATGAAAGTGATGATGAAAACGTAGATGATCCCGAACCTAACTTTGTTAGTGTTGGTACTAGCGATGATCAACAGCCAGGACCGTCAGGATTAAACAAAATGTCCGCTACAACCACCAACGCCGAGATGCCGTGAGTACTCATTTTTTTTAATCGCTTAAATTTGAACAAGCAAAGCAATAATTATTAATTTTATATTAAGTATTTTTTGATATTATTGAAAAAGCTTCATTTTTAAAATAATTTTATTTTTAAAACAACTTCATTTTTACGAACAAATTTTTAAAAAAAATTTTTAAACTAGGAAATTGAAAAGCAGTTATAAAATTGAGTACTCACTATTGCTTGTTCATCAATTATTAAACAGGGGTTCAAAAATTATACGTTCATACAATTTTTTTGGTAAAAATCAAAATCAGTCCATAAATGGTATAATCATTGAATACCTGTTTCTAGGTTGTTTTTTTTTTTGTTGAGATTTTCTGTTTTACGATTATTTATTATGTTTGTTTTGAGCAGCCAAATATTTTTTGTACTGCTCTTTTTGATTCTTGTTAGTGTTATTGTTGTTTAAGTATTGTGGGTTTTCCACTATATCTAGTTTTAAGTTTTAACATAGATGTGTGTGTTTGAATGATGCATTTGCATTTTTCAAAATGTTAGAAGTTTTTAATTTTTAAGGTTGTATTTTGCAACCTTAATATTTGAAAAAGTATTTAAAAAAAAAGTATTAATAAGGAAGGTTATGTATTTTAATCCTTCTTATTTATTTAATTTTCATCCATATTTGTAGTGTGTGCAAAATTTAGTGCAATGATATAAGGAAGATTATGCATTTTAATCTTACTTATTAATTTAATGCTATGAGTGCATTAAATTTGTGATGTTTATAAACTTAAAAGTTTTGTTTTTGTGAGGGTAGGGCCTTTTTTCAGATTGGAACCAATTATATTAGATGCTTGACTTCAAGCACCTAATTTTAATTTGGTTTTGTTGGTGGATGAATAAGTGTTTAATTTGTAAGTGGATTAGAATTTTTATCTATTCCATTTTGTCATTTTTGAGATTTCAAAACTATTACTTAATAGTTTTAATACTCAATATTTTTTTAATTTTTTGTTAATGCGTTAAAGGAGTGGATGATGTGATGCTACAAGTTTTGTGCTTATAAAAAGGTACGTTATATTATTATTTTTAATTAGCTGTAAGTTGTATTTAAGTAGCAAAAACCATGGTTTTAGATTATAATTGTTTAGAATAATTAAAAAGAAATACTAATATTCATTAAAATTATAATGTTATATTGTGATCAATATATGTTATGATTCTATTGAATATTAGGCTTTCTTTAGTTAAATTAAGCTACTGTGTATATCCATGTGAAGTGTACTAATATGTTATTTGTTGTGTTTTTAATGTATGGTTTTTTAATCATGATCCCCTTTTCCAATTATATCCTAATAAAGCAATTATATTCTTCAAGAATAAATCAATAGTAAAGAATATAAATAATTATACTTACATGATGCTATTTGTAATTAAATATGTATTCCTAGAAGATTGTTACTGAAGAAAAGAATAATCTGCTGTTGAAGCGGATGCTTTGTCAATCAATGGGATCAAGAATATTGTTACATTTTTCCATTATCTTTACACTCTTTACACTATAATTCAACATAAGCAATTTACACCTTATACTGTTCAATATAATTTCATGTTTAATGTACTGTCTAATATAGTATATTTTTTTAAATGTTATTTCATATCAAATTATAAATATTCACTTTTCACAAATGTTTCATATTCACATTGTTTTGGCATATTTTTAAATTATTTTGTAAGTGAAGTCGATAATGTGTTAATAAAGAATACTGGTTTAATTTAAAAATGCAAATTCTTCGGGACTTCAACATCGATGATCATCTGGAAATAAGTTTCGTTTAAACGGTATGTGAAAAATTTTTGTTATCTAGATTTACATTACGCTATAATGGTTCATTTTGATACTTTTTTATTGCAAATTTTGTTCATTTTAAAAATATTTAAATATAAAATAATTCATAAATTTCATTAGTATTCAATTATCATTTGGTTTAAAGTTTGACAGAAAGTAATAAGAAAAAAAAGTTTTCATATATTTAAATTATTCTGATAATGCATGACTTGAAAAAGCCAATATTCGTTTTTCTGATTATCAACTTGCGGTTTATTAACAATTCCAACACATTTGGTATACAAATTTGCCGACAAAATAGCTTGTACATGAAATTTTAATAGTTTGATTTGTGTATAAGTACGAAGGGTAGGGACGAACATTATTTACTAGAACTAATTCTAGATCTAGAACCAGAAACATTCGGGTTAAGCCGTGAGTCTTTTGACAATATGTTTAAATCGATCACAAGTCGTGTCTATTGAAAATTCGAAGCGATTTGTGACCACTTCGAAATTGTTTCTGAAGAAGGTTGGAACGTGGCTTAACCCGAAATTTTCTACTTCTAGGACTAGAGTTAGTTCTAGTGCTAGTTTTAGTTCAAAAAAAGTTTGATTCGAAGTTTAGAGGCAATTAAGGGTTAATAGAGCATTACTACAGGTACTACCATAGCTTTCCATCGCGGCACCCTGCTTATAAATGTTTTTGAATCATTTCTTTTCGAACTAAAAAAGAATACAGGTCGGTGTTCCTTTATATATCACAATTTTCAACGTTGTTACATTTTTTAGTTACTTAGCTACGAACCGCACTTACACATAAATATCGCAAAACTTAAAATAGTAATTCTGGTCTTTTCGGTACAAGATACTACAAACGAGTTACGAATAACAATCCTTGGTACCAATGGGTTTCGTTGCGTTCACGACAAAAACCTTACGGAAGGGTGGTCCTAGGCAGCCCTTTAAGAAAAAGTAATTTTTAATTATAAAAAAGCATAAATGAATGTATCTGAAGGCGTTGATACTAAAACAGGTTTACTTATTTTGTTCCCTATATCGTTGATTACTCATTCTATAGCGGAGTAACTAGAACCTCGGTGTACCAAAGAGAATTTGGTAGGAATACTTACACTCTTGTTGGGTTTAATCAGCTGCATGCGAGGCAGAGGAACTGTGCGCACAGAAAAGAAAGAATCCGTATGAGTTCCGTATGAGTGAACCCTTAAGTCAGTTTATATACAACACAGTATATTGAATGTTATAATTTGAAGAAAAGAACAAGAAACAGGAAATGAATACACTGGAAATAAGATCCTTCATTAAAAAGAGACTTCAACTATTAAAACGTTGGGTGTAGAATTACTACTTTGCAAATTTCTCCGTGATAATAACAAAAATGTTAATCTGACAGTAAAGTTTAAAGTAGAAAAATTCATGAAAGGTGCAATAGAAATGCAAAACTTCCTGTGTTTCAACCCGAAATAGATGTATAGATTCTATCTACAATATAGATAACAAAATGTATTACAACGAAATAGCTACTCCTTTGTATTGCAATAACATGAAGAAAAAGAAATGACACTTTAGTTGCCTAATAATAAGAATATGGAAGATGTAGACAGAAACGGTGGAACAATTATATGATGCACACTTGCAAGAAACGGTATGAAAAGTAATTTAAGAAGATATTTGGTAAAGATTATAACTCGTATCACCTAACCAATAATAACAATCCAAGGATTTACATCACTCTCCATTAATGTTATAACTTCTTAGGTAGAGACTTGTTCAACCAGTGTATTTCACGTGCTATTTATAACACGGTGCCAAACTATCTGGGCCCACTAATCCAGTGCAAAACTTGTATCAACCTGTCTCTACTACCACTACTCAAAAATTGAATAAACGGCGACAGTGCCGCACATCGAAGTGCAGGAATAAGACGCACTTTGTATGTTATAAATGCGAAAGATACGTTTGTGGTAATTACGTTAAAACCTAAATGCTAATTTGTGTTAATTGTTACTAAAATATGATTTTTGATTACCACAGCAGATTTCTAATCTTGTTTTTAGTTTATTAACATCTTAATTTTTCAAGAAATATAATATTGATTTTGCAGTGATGTTTGTTTTTGTAACCTGATGTTTAAACAATCTAGTTTAAAAGTAAATTAAAAAAGTTCAAACGAAAAGTTATAAACGAAAATATTAAATTGTCAATTTTGATGCTTTTTTTTTATTGTTCGTAGAGGGCGCAAGCTTTAGTATTGTACTGTAACGATAAAATTATGCTAATAAGTAGATATTATAATGATGCTAATCAATTTAGTACAATTAACTAAAAATTTCTAATCTCAAATACTTTGCTACTCTTAATTATACTTTTATTAAGGCTTCTTCAAAATTCATTGACTTCCCATCTATCACGTCAGTGTTACTATTCTCAAGGTTGTTAATCATGTTTCGTCTAGTCAATCTTGTACCACAGAATAACCAGAAATGACACTAACGTCGATTCGTTTGATGTTGACGGCATTTGAAGTATTCTTCAGCTAATTGCTAAGGTTGGCAAATATGCGGAATAATAATAGATAGATTTAATATTAATGCAAGTATTTTTTGGTTCCTTTTTCTATGTCCTGCTCGTTCGCAATATTCACAATCATCTCATGTATACAGGTGTCCCGTATCTTCCGGATCAGAGCATTATACGGTTGAAGGATACATTATTCTGAAGCGATTTTTCTAATAAATTTTTTTCGAAATGTTTATAATATCCACACGGGAACTGTTTAAAATAGTCCAATAGCAGATCGGAAATCAGCACGTTTCTCAGGTGTACTCACCAATAGATTCGACACGGAAAGAGAAATACACTTTATTAAATTCCGCTATTGGACGATTTTTTTATTGAGATGAATTTGAGACCACAAGTGGCAGCACAAAAACATAAGAAAGCTTTATAAAGTGAAGTGGGTTAAAAAAAAAAATCTTCATGTTTAACCGGTTTCGGCTAGATCTATCATCAGGGAATATATTTACTAAAGATATTTTATGTCAATTATAATATTTATATATCAATTTATTGGACAACATTTTTTCTTGCTTGACATTCAAATAAAGTTTTTAAATAAAAGCGGCGTTTCAATAACCATCACCTTTATTTTCAAATTTCTTAGTACAACTTTAAAAATT